ACTAGCTTGTCCAAATACACGGTTTAGGAATTGGCTATTAACTAAAGTTGATTTCAAAGTTAAATAACTGGAGAATTTGCCGCTTTCTCTTTATTAGTACTATTTAACAATTAAGCATCCAATAAATTAACGTCAACACAGTTTGCTCGAAAGTTTTTTTTTTTTTTTTTTTTTTTTTTTTTTTTTTTTTTTTTTTTTTTTTGGCCTTTTGAAGGTTCGCAAGGTCCGTTACTCCTTACAAAATTAGGCCATTCCATTTGTTTTTAATTTTTGTTTTCTGGATGGGAGAAATTAAGATTTTGTCCATTTGAATATAAATCTACAAATACAGTAGTCCTTTTTTTTTTTTTTTTTAAATTGTGATTCGAAATTTTGATCTCAATCTAAAAGGACATGTGAATTTATAGCTGAAGTACTGAACCTTAAACGAATACAATAGTCTCTGATTGGGCCCGTTCAGTTCGTTGATTCGAGTTGAGATGTGACTTTATGTGAGAATTTTTTATTATAGCAAAAAGTTAGATGTAACTATTTCTGAGAGCTTTTTACTATAACAAAACTCGAATCAGTGAAATGAACAATAGTCATTTAGTACTAGAGGGATCGTCATGTATAACCTAAAACTCGTCACATATTTGATATCGAAAATCTATACATAGATGAACTTAAATGATAGCATACGCAGAAGTTACCGAGGACAAATGTCCGTTAATTAGTGTTAGGAAGGACAATTAAAATTAGCAAAGTTGGCAAGATCAAAAAGTTATAGTTAGGCGGACAATTAGAATTAGCAAAAGTTGTTAAGATCAAAAAAGTTATTCTCTCATTCATTTTACAACTTAAATTTTATTACTATAATATTTTTTTTTATAAAAATTTAAATTTAAGAGTTGTTCTTTTGTCCTTTTTGAGTTAGGTGACTTGAGTGTGGATTTTGAGTTGAGTTTGAGTTATATCTTGAGTTGAAGTTGTAACTTGAGTTTGTGTTTGGTTGTATACATTTGAATTATGGTTTGAGATAAGAATCTTTTTGAGTTTGTGTTTTAGTGAGTCAAAATTTGAATTTATATTTAGATAGTATTTTAATAAAAACTCAATACTGACGGAAAATTTTAATAGGGTATATGAGTGGAGTTTTATTCATTTTTTCGTTGTCAACACATAGAAAAAAAAATTATCTCAATTAGAATTAAAACGAAAAAGTTATATCATTTTTAAGAATAGAAAAAATAATGTTCATTAATTTGAGTTCGAGTTTCTGAACTCAAAGTGAAGGGGAAACTTGAACTTAAATTTTTATTCCAAACTCAAATTTAAACTTAAAAAAAATATAAATTTAAATAAAATTATAACTTAAATTATTTTTTTAAAATTTTTGACTAAAAAAAGACCGCTAACAACCTCTAACTCTTTTACACATACAATTTAAATCATAATTGAAATTATTATTTGAGGTGCGAAATGATCATACTTTATAGTTTTAGTGTTAAAAAGCAGAAATTCATATTAAAACGAGAACCGCTGGATGGAGCTCGAGATTCCCACAATTTGAGAGAGAGAGAGAGAGAGTTAATGGGGGGGGACGTTAGGACAAAGGTACTCTGCGCTTTCACGTGGAAATAAATTGTATACTTCCAAAACGCCATGTCTGTTGTGTCGTCGGACACGAAAGCTCTGAACACGTGTTCGTGCACTTATCTGTCCCAAAAATACGTCCCTTCTACTTTGGCCCCGCTTTGAGATAAACTAAAGTCGTCTACATATATCCAAAATAATTTAAATAACTAAATAAATGAGAAAGAAAATGACCTAAAGTTTCCTACACTTCTTCCTCTTTTCCCAATTAATACAAAGCATCACTTTATTAAGAATATCTTTGTTGGCATTTCTTAGAAATAATTGAGGGTGTGTTTTCGATAGGTCATTTTATCGATAACATTAATTTTTTGACTTATTTTTAATATAAATTTAACGAATCTTGCAGGAGAAACTCCTAATAATTAGTTATGATACTTTGCTTTCTCAATTATTTTATCCGTACGTGTTCATATGCAGAGCATTCATTTAGTCAGAACCGCTGCTCATTCTAAAGGATGTAAGTTCCATAATATAGATTATACTGGGAAAACAAAAACAAAAAAAAAAAAACAAACTTTTCGATCCATAATTCTATACGAAAACGACAAGTGAAATTTTTGTCCTCCTTTTTTTAACGTACGTGTTTTAATTGTAGTTATTATGAAGAGGAAGCGGACGATAAATATAAATTGCATGAGACAAAAGAAATGTGATCTCAGGGGTGGTGGGGGGGATATGTGGCGCAAGTATGAAAGAGAGACAATTAATTAAAAGATAAATTTTTAATCCTTTAACTTATTAATTATTATTATTATCTTGTAAATCAATTTGCCATATCGGATTGGCATACGTATGTCACGTGCTTAAATTCAAAAGGCCTGAACTTAATATTTAATAAAATGGCGCTTGCTTGTTTTGTTTTTTTGTTTTTGTTTTCGTAAGAACCTAGCTGCATAATTATGTTTTATATACTATAGTAACACGTAACATATTTCGATTAGCAAAAAAACAAAAAAACAAAAAACAAGTAACATATTTCACCTTTCAAAAAGAAAAAAGAAAACAATTAACATACTTCAGTAAAATGTTCTTAAATATATTTGGAAATTTAATTAAAAAATGACAACCCACTCATTAATCATATATTAATTAGTTTAAGTTTTTTTTTTTGGTTGTATTGTTTACATGAAGTCATGAAAAGATATATACTTAGAGGCGGAGGGTGGTGAGGGGCCCGGGGGCATATGCCCCTTGGATTTTCGGTTTTTACATTTTACTCCGTGGTTTTCAAATTTTTTTTTTTTTTTTTTTTTTTTTTCATATATGCCTCTTCTTTATTAACAAAAATTTCAAAATTTTTCAACCAAAAACCAAACTCTCTTTTTTTTTTTTTTTTTTTTTTTTTTTTTTACTTTTTTTATTGTTTGTTTATTTTTTTCCTATTAAATCTTATACTTTAAATGTACTCAATTGAAATTTTTTAAGTTACTCTAGTTAAAACTTTTATTATTTTTTTAAAAAAATTTGTCACTTTAAAATAGTGATCTCATATAATATTTATTGTATAAAAAGTGAGTTTCACCAAAAAAATTTAAATAACCCATTAAAATTATATTTCTCAAATATGTTCCTAATTAAGCATTTTTTTAACTAACCCCTCTCGATTACTATTTTGCTCATAACAACTTTTCTCTAATTTGTCTTTGTTGAGGTAGTAAACACTTTCTTTAAAACTTACCCTATTCTCTTTAAAATTTTGTTACAAAAAATTCAATAAACTGATTAATATGCACGTACAGTTGCTTCCAACTAGTTAATAGTATTGTGAGTTAATATTATTAATATTTTTAACATTTTTAACATGTTTAGTTTACGCATTTCTTGAAACAAAATCCCGACTCTGCCACTACTTGATATTATATATATATATATATATATATATAGAAGAACGCTAAATACAGGCTCTATTGTAGATTCTGTTAGAGACTCTAGCCTATTATTTTAACACATATCATCTCTATTTTCTGAAAGAAACTAACTTAATAATGAGTCATTCCTTTTATACTTATTTACAAGCATGTCATTATTCTTTTTTAACTCTTGAATTTAACGATTTTAAGGGGAGAAAGAAAGGAAGAAGACAAAAACAACTCCTAAAGTACATATTTGCTCCACATTTTGTCTTCTAATGATTTTACGCATTTTAATAGAAACAAAAAAATAATAATAAAAGAAGAAAGAGATAGCCTTGCACATATAACATCTCATATTCCCTTCTTTCGATAGAGAGAGCCTTGCATATTTTAGCAAAGAAGAAGGCAGAAAATCTTTGACAAGAACACGAAGGAAAGAAGAAGAAAAAAAAAGAAAAGAATAGAAAAAGAAAAGAAAAGAAAAGAAAAGAAAAGAACCTCTTTGACATGGCATGCTTGTTTGAAAGTGTGAATTATGAAAAATTCGAAAATATAGTTGAATTGCAAAATAGAATAATCCAAATAAAAACAACACTGTCAAATCAAGTGTTCTTATGCTGAAACTTGCAAAATAACTATTCTAAAAACTTTTCCCTCAAAAAAAAAAAAAAAAAATCGTGACAAAAATAGGTTTCTTTCTTCCTATCTTCCAAGCACATATCTTTCTCATGAAAATCGTTTTCCAAAACATATAATTTGTAAGCCAAAGTCCAACAATCCAGAAAAAGAATCATCCGAATAATGGAGCATAATCAATATCAATCATCCAGCAAGCAAGAACATACAAACTAAAAAGTCAATGAGTATAAACAACAAAAAATTTAAAAAACTAAAAAAATGATTGATGGCTTCAAAACGGAAAAAAAAAAAACAAGAAGAAAAAAACCATAAACAACAAAGAATCAAAAAAACGCTGGAGCAAATCATATACATTAAAATTGAAGCAAAACATATATCAGCGGCCTCAAAGGGAAAAAAAATGAAAAAGAAAAGAAAACCATTGAAAACAAAAATAAAAACAAAGCTCAAGCAAAATTATGTACATTTGGAATTGTTTTTGTCTTCTTCTCAAGGGAATTGCACGCCAAAATCTTCCAATGGCCCAGAGAAAAAGAATCTCTCCCCTATATGCAAGCCTCTCTCACACTCTTTTATTATTATTATTATTATTCTACTGGAATGTGTAGAGTGGTTAGATTTAGAGTAAAAAATGACATGTTTGTAAATAAGTGTGAAATGAATGACTTATTATTAAGTTAATTTGTCTCAGAAAATAGAGATAATACGTGTCAAAATATTAGGTTAGAGTCCTTAAAAAAGTCTATAATAGAGTCCGAAAAGAGTCTGTAATAGAGTTTGTATTTAGCATTTTTTGTATATATATATATATATATATATATATATATATGTGGGGGTAATACTCTGGTAGGTTGCTGCGCTGCTATCTTATCCCATTTCCCCGTACTACTTACTAATGTACGTTTAGGGTTTACACGAAATAAGAAGCAGAAGAAGGATAACAAAAATTAGCTATTAGCTATATCTTCGCCGCGCTTTATCATTCATCACTTCATTTCTTTCGCTTCTAAACATGCAGTCGAATTATGAAAGAGCAGAGAGTAGTAGTGATCTTCCCGATGCTCAACACTTGACAGATAGCTGCTGCGAGTACTCTTGTTCACCACCATTTTTTCCTCATAATATTCTCCCACCCGTTAATCCTTCAATGCAAATTAACCAACATTTCTCTCTTCTTCACCATCAACAAGGCCTCCTAAATATTACTGCACAGCAACAATATTATTCTGATATTGCACAACAACACCAATATAATTCCCACACTAACCCAATATTCACCCACCAGTTCTTCCAAGAATGGCCCGTACAGTTTCAGCCATGGCAAGCACAGCGAAGAGAAACTCCAGCTGATCAATCTTCGCATAGCAATGATCTCTTCCCTGTCATGAATTTCAAGCTTGGTGGTAACTATTTGCTTGATGCACTTCCCGAGAACCGACCATATTCTTTAGAGTTCACGCCCAAATTTTGTCGGCAGACGCAAGAATATTCCACTGCCAAACAACCCTTTTGGTAATTTTTCAATACATACATGATAGTAACACTACATCTAAAATTTTTTACCTGCTTCTACTTTTTTGCAATTTTCTCTTTTGTGTTCCTTTTTTTTTTTTAAATTTTCGTGTTGTCGTTGTTTTTCTTTTCTTTTTCTTTTTTTTCCCTGAACATCATTCATGACTTTTATTATTGTGTTTGTATTATGTATTAATGTCACAGCAAGGATATTCATGATATTCCCAACGCAGACAAAAAGAACAACCAATTCGGCGATGTGAGGGAGATATGCAATGAACTTGAAGAAATCTATGGCCTTGTAAAGAACAGTACTAGTAAACAATTAACCGGCACTGGTTCCGCTCTAACCCGCGAGGCCAATCTTGAGCCGGCGCCGTTTTGTCAAGAAGAAGAAACCTCGCCAAAAATCGAACTTCATAAGAAGAAGAAGAGGAGGAGGAAAAGTAGTAAAGAGCTTTTGAGTTCAATGGCGGGCTTCTTTGAGGGCTTGGTTGAGCAGGTGATGAGCCACCAAGATAGGCTTCATAGCAATTTTTTGGAAGCCATTGATAGGATTGATAGAGAAAGGAGGGAGAGAGAAGAAGAGTGGAGACGCCAAGAAGCTCAAACGCAAAACAGAGAAGCCATGGCTAGAGTCCATGAGCAAGTCCTTGCTTCAAGCAGAGAGGCACTTATTGTTTCATACTTGGAGAAAATCACTGGCCAAACAGTTGATCTTCCTTCGGGATTTAAGAATAGCCCTGATGATTTGATCATTAGTGAATTGTCTAATTTGGAGGAAATGTCAGACATTAGTAAGAGTGCTGAAAAGAACATGAGAAGATGGCCTAGAAGTGAAGTTGAGGCATTAATCCGAGTCCGAAGCGGTTTAGGAGAGAAGTTTCATCAAGAACCGGGGATAAATATTAAGGGTCCTATTTGGGAAGATGTTAGTGCTTTGATGGCTTCAATGGGGTATAAAAGGAGTGCTAAAAGGTGCAAAGAGAAGTGGGAGAACATCAATAAGTATTTCAGATCAAAAACCAAGAACAATTATAGTGCAACAAATAAGGTGTCAAAAACTTGCTCTTATTTTGATCAGTTGGATCAGCTCTACGCAAGAGTTAATACCCCCAAAATGTTTAATGTCGGCCCTTCTTCATCTTCTTCAATATCTCCCTATTGTGCTAAGCCTCTAGTTGATGGTTTTGGGGCACAAAGTCAAAGGCAAAGTTATATAGAGCTCATGGAGACCTTTGGAGTTGCAGAACCTTCATCTAGTGGGAATCTAGATTTTGATGGGGTTGATTTTCATGACAAGGTAGAATTTGAGCGAGTAGACCGCGATGCGGAGAAGCTAAACCATATGGATGAGGATGACGAGGTTTTCGAAGACGAAATCGAAGAAGAGGATGATCCAGATGATGAAGAATGAAATTGTACTTCATGAGTTCTACCATAGCTTAGGGATGCTTAATTTGTTTGTCAAGTTACGTATTTATAACTATCATGTTATTTGTTGTAAAGTACGATTTCAGATGTTGTTGATTCAATGTTTGATACAAATGTAACCCCATTACTTGAGAAAATAGGCAATCGGTTTATACAACCTTTTGACGGAGGTTTTCACAATTTTACCGTACATAACATCCTATAAATTTACGGGAGCTTCTCTGGTATGACCAATTTTGAGTTTTTAACTGTCAAATTTATATCAAAAATTGATTATTTTACGTACTTTTTTAATATGATGTGATTTTTATCTAACCGATTGACATTATCGATAGGATTGTCTTATTAGAGAAACTCCATAAATTTGCTCATTATTTTCTCTCGTATTTTCATGGGGTGAATGAACTGGTTTTTAACGCAACAAAAGTCTGTACCATTTTTGGGTTTGCTCGAGTGTACGATTATATGTCCCAATATTTTAGCACTTTTTCGGATTCTTTGGACTTGGCCTAGTAAATTCTCCATTTTTTCCTACTATATATGCATTCTTGACGTAAATTGGGCCGAATTTGTGGTATGAGTCGTACGTCTTTGACCCTGTAGTATATAATAGAGCTCTCCAATTGTTTCTTTATTTGTTTCTTGTGCTGAACCAAATGAACCTGTAGTCCAAATTATTGTGCGATCCCAGAATAATGTACACACAGAGGTTTAGACAAGAAAAAACTTGTAAAACATTGAGACATGTTTTGGTAGAAAATATTAGAATTATATGTTGGAAAATGGCTTGTTAAGCCATATAGGCCTATTATGGAAAGGGGTCCAATTGATTTTTGAGACGAGTTTTGATGGATTTGTGTTCTCCATCACAAGGAGATTGAAATTGATTATTCATACACTCAAAATGGATATTGAGTGAATGACAAATTGATGTTCTAAGTATGTTACTTGGAGTGGTTAAGGTAGTTGTAATTTTTATTTTTCAATTCGGCCCAAAACCTTCCACATTCAGCCAAAACTCAAAACCGTTTGGAGCTTAATGGTGATTAAAAGAGGCTTAATGCCGAGCTTAATGGCAGCTTATGGCATTAGTTTTGCCTTCATAAAAATTTAAACTTCTATAGATTTGTGGCTAGGTTCATCATGCACGTTTTGCACCATTAAAATGCGCGTTTAAGCCCCATAATGTCATGTTTTGTAACCTCTATTCGAGAGCCTATATAAGCTATGCACCACATGAAGGACAACACACACTTTTCCGAATTCTCTTCTCCTCTCCTCGGTTCTCTCTTGTTTTTCGAGTTCTTTGTGCGTTTTCTTTTGTAGTTTGGTTTTGGTGATAGAGGGAAGATCCAAGTTCTAGTTCGCCAGACGGTTTCGATAGTGCTTCGAGCTACTGTCGTTGTCGTTGTATTCTGGGAGATGGACGTCCAACATTACCTCAAGTACTCGCTGGAGGGGATGAATCTGTTTATGGCATAAGCTTAATGGCCGCTTATGGCATCAGTTTTGCCTTCATAAAAATTCAAACTTACTATGGATTTGTGGCTAGGTTCATCATGCACGTTTTGCACCATTAAGATGCGCGTTTAAGCCCCATAATGTCATGCTTTGTAACCTCTTTTCGAGAGCCTATATAAGCCATACACCACATAAAGGACAACACACACTTTTCCGAATTCTCTTCTCCTCTCTCTCGGTTCTCTCTTATTTTTCGAGTTCTTTGTGCGTTTTCTTTTGTAGTTCAGTTTTGGTGATAGAGGGAAGATCCAAGTTCTAGTTCGCCGGACGGTTCCGATAGTGCTTTGAGCTACCGTCGTTGTCATTGTATCCTGCGAGACGGACGTCCAACGTTACCTTAAGCACTCACCGGAGGGGACAAATAACTTTTAAGAAAAGCGCAGTTCACGTGCCTCGACATCCTTGCAATTCGGTTTTCCAAGTTTGGTAGAAAGGTTGAGTTCGTGTTGTAACTATTTCTATATTTTAATCTTTCTATAAGTTGTTATGAATTGATCTTCTTTGTATTACCCATATTTTTGCTAACACTATATTGTTAGTATAATGTTTGTCATGCTCATTTTATGTATACGTTAAATACAAATTGAAAATCAACACAACTCGCGGTATTTTCTATTAAAATTTAATTTCATGTGAATTACCTTTTCTTTTATCTTTTTTATTTCCTTCTCTTATAGTTCTCTAGGTCGAGGTTGGGGTCCGGCTAGCTAGGGGTCAGGACCAGGTCGGGGTCAGTCTATTGATTAGGTCTAATTTGGGCTTCGAACCGGATTAAACCCAAACCTGCACCGACTCAGGGTGGGGACGAGACAGAACCAAGATTGGAATCGAGGTCTTTGTTATTAATTTATAATGTTTTATGATCTAAGAAAAAATAGTAATGTACTATATACAATTTTTTTCTGTTACTAAACATTGCGTTACCATCTTTACTATTTTATGAGCCCATGAGTACCGTAATGTAGACAATATATATACCACACAATATAATATCGGCAACCAAACATATGGCCTGGAATTGTGACTGATCACCTGCCAAATTCTAGTTCAACAGGGTTCCAATTGAAGTAGAAAAGAAGTATTATCACGAGTATTTATCCAACTCTTTAGCAATTCCTCCGAGAAGTATATTCATCTGAAGAGGATGGAGACAGACCTGTGATCGTTTCTCCGATCATAGGTAAGCCCAACACTGGTTATAAACACTAGGAGAAAATTGCTCAATTTACTTTCAGACTGTATGAGTTTAAATTTTTACCTCTTACAGTTAGTTACAACTTTTTTGAGTAATATACAAACCTGTGCATTCAATTCACAACGGTCCATAAGTCATTGGCTTGAAGAAGATAAGAAAAGTTGAATTGTCCTGCATCAAAATCCATATCAATGGAGTTCCACAAAGCATCATTTTCACTGGAAATTAATTGTCAAAAACCAAGTTTTAACTGTCACACAGGGTTTTACGTCTAAAGCCAAAAACAGTTATTTCAAAGCAAAATGGTACAGCGGCACATGTATAGTTTTCTTTTTTGTGCCAAAACGGTAGGCCAAAAACGATCCTTTGCTTGAAGTAACCCACAAGTAAGGTGGTTCTACCAATTTTAAAGCATCACATAGGTTTTACTTTTAAAGTTTTAAAGGCCAAAAAAAAGTTAGTCCAAAGAAAAATGGTAGACCGGTATATATAGGTCCCGTTTATTTCACCGATTCAAGTTTAGAATTTGAATTTTACTACAGTAAAAAGCTCTCAAAAACAGTTACATCTAATTTTTTTACTACAGTAAAAAACTCTCACATAAAATTATATCTTAACTTGAATCAACGAACTAAACGTACTCATAGTTCCCTTTCTTTTATCTAGCATATACGAACTTCAACACTTCAAGAGAATTGTACAGTCCGCCTTATTCGCCACACATAGTTCAAAGCTAGCTGGCAATAAATTTGACTTTCGATCGCCATATCATAGATGCGGTCACGTGTCTCTATTTACGTGTTTTCTTTTGTATTCTCTGGATAATATATCATAATAAGTCAATTATTTATATATTTTAATTAACATGAAGTTTTAATTAATATGATATAATATTTTAATTAATGTGATATTTTAATTGACGTAGTATAATGTAATTATAGAGGATATATAAAATTAGACAAGAACAAAGAGAGTAAGTCATTTCGTCATATTATCTCATAACTTTAGGAAATTATAACACTTTAACGAAGCACATTAAAATTTAGGAAATTGATTTTTACAACTTGTCTTTGGAATACACCCAAGGGGGTGGTTGAAGTGGCAAAGGTGCTCTACCTTTAAGGCTTTCTCTCATTTAGGGAGGGTAAGATTAAAGGTTTGAGCCTCTATTTTACTTAGATGTCTAACCGAATAGAAATAACTTTAAGAAGTCGCCTACAACCAGAATCTCATCAGGCCTTTTTTAATAAGAAAAAAAAAAACTTGTCTTTGGAATACATATCGTCCCTGGCCATACATATATTTCAGAGCCAGACATCATAGATGTTATGACTATTATTATTATTATTATTTATAAGGGTACTGCTGTTATTAGTTATCACCTGCACATCATTGTAGGTCTCGTTCACTTTACTGATTCGAATTCAGAATTCGAGTTGAGATGTGATTTTATATGAGAGTTTTTTACTGTAGTAAAAAAATTAATTGTGATTGTTTGTGAGAACTTTTTACTGTAGAAAAACTCTAATTCTAAACTCGAATCAGCGAAAACCGAGACAAAGTACTAATGATGATCAAGAGTGTGAGAAAAGTATGTCTTAATTACTTTTCTCACCTAATCTGGTATGTAATTTTTAATGAACTAAAACGCAATTTTTCACCTCGATTATAAAACGTTTGTTTCTTGTGCAAGTGATTTTTTTTTTTTTTTTTTTTTTTTTTTTTTTTTTTTGTTGAATGTAAGTATCACAAGACTAAAGAAAAGACAGCCAGCCGACTCTGAATTTTCAAACAGAAGGAAGAGAAACTCCTTAAAAGGAAGGAAGAGAAACTCCTTGAAAGAGTTCCAAAAGGAAAAGAAAAACAAGTAAAAGGAATTTTCTCTAGTAGTCCCGGTAAAAATAGATTATTAGTAGTCTTTTATTTTTTAACCGTCAGATCTGTTTAAAATCTGTTTGTTTTTAATCTGATATGATTTTAATTAAATTTAATGATTAAAAACTGGGACTATTAGTAGTCTCACCTAACTTGGTATGTAATTTTTAATTAACTAAAACACAATTTTTTACCTCGATTATAAAACGTTTGTTTCTTGTGCAAGTGATTTTTTTTTTTTTTTTTTTTGGTTGAATGTAAGTATCACAAGACTAAAGAAAAGAGAGCCAGCCGACTCTGAATTTTCAAACAGAAGGAAGAGAAACTCCTTAAAAGGAAGGAAGAGAAACTCCTTGAAAGAGTTCCAAAAGAAAAAGATAAACAAGTAAAAGGGATTTTCTCTAGTAGTTCCGGTAAAAATGGATTATTAGTAGTCTTTTATTTTTCAGTCGTCAGATCTGTTGAAAATCTGTTTGTTTTTAATCTGATATGATTTTAACCAAATTTAATGATTAGAAACTGAGACTACTAATAAAACGGATTACCATAGAAATTCTTGAAAAGCAATCCATAAAAACTTCCTTTGGTTTATCAGGAAAAATTCATAACTTATGTGAAAATGACAAACAAAAAGCGCGTGGCATGCATTCTTTAATTCAATTATAACCTTTAAATTTGAGTCATTAACAAAGGTCTTTTTTAGGAATACATACATACACAAAATACATATATAAAATATTACATAAGACATATACATGATAGCATTAATCTATATATATAGACGCACACACTTGAAGTTTTTATTAAAAACCTCATTTATATTCAAAACCCATTCGTTTTAAACTGATCACTTGCTTACTTGTATGTAGATCCCAATTTAATTTTTTTTTAAAAGAAGTGTTTTACTTTTTTTTTCTTTTTGCCATATTGGCCTCTTAAATTTGATACATATGAATGTGGCTGAAATATTACGGTAACAAATCGGGGAACTAACTTTTGTGTCCCTTTATTTCTGTCTTATTTTATGCCTATCTAATAATATTATGTCACGTCGTTTAAAATATCGCGTTAATTAAAAGATTCTTATCACGTCAATTAAAAAATTATGACGTGACATGTTATTATTAGAGGGACACGAAATGAGACAAGATTAGGGGCCATATGAACCCATTCTCAAATAGAGACTCAAATATATTGTCTAATTTTAGAGTTTTTAATTGGTATCTAACTAATCAAATCATGTCACATCATGTAAAAAGTTTAGATTATTTTTTAACTTACATTGATTAGGACATCAAAAATTAGACGGGAGATTTGAATCCAACAAATATTACTTTTTTTTGACCTTTCGGCAAGTGAGATCAGTTGGTTCTGGATGGGGTGTGAGGACACAAATAATGCTCTTTATTAACAAGAAGCAAGAAGCATAAAAATAAAAAAAAAATAAAAAAAAGGTACTTTTTTCTTCACTCCACCGGCTGATATAACCGATAAACTGTAACTAAGAAAAATTAAGAAAAGGCCAAACATACGCATTCAATCAACTTTTTAATATCATAATTACAAAGACTAGCTAATATGTAGATACTAATATAGCTTCAACTCACGTCTCCACAAATTCAAGAGAAGATCTAACTTAGGGTCAAGTTTGACGGTGGAAAATTGAAATTTTTATTATCTAAATTCATTCCCCAAACGTTTCCTCGTGGGAGAGAACAGGCGCTTCTTGGCATGACGTGGAACGCTGCCATTTGGATGCGTCACTAATTACATTGTTTTTTCCATCAATACCCCCCGATCACAGTTATCATGATCATCTACACCATTAATCTTGAACTGATCAACATTACACAGCTCCCAGAAGTCCAAATCAAAGTCAAAGCACTGGAGTTTCTCAAGAAAACTACCCTCCTCATCGTCACAATTAGTAGTACTTGAGACGTTATTAGTATTTTCCATTGGTCGAACTGTTGGGTTTTCATCTAATTCAGTATAAGGGTGATTTTCTAGGGCACTTTTTGTGGGCTGTGAAAATTCGTCAACTCGGAGTGGTTGTACTGAAGCAACACTCGCAGTAGGATGCGCACTAACCAGAACCTGGTTAATATTTGTGCAATGCTTCAAAGCCTCTGTCTGAACTGCACTTGTACGTTGAACAGTCGGCGTTTTGGTATTGGTCGATATTATTGCTTGGGTAATGCTTTGAGAGTGTGCCGGTTTTGTGTTATTTTGCAGCTTCTTCCTCTCATGATCCAGCTCGTAATTGGAAGATGGCTGGTTTGATCGTTTAATACTACTACCTTTCCTTTTCTTCTGTAAGATTGTGTTCCAGTAGTTTTTTATTTCATTGTCGGTTCGTCCAGGAAGTCTTCCCGCTATCAACGCCCATCTGTATATTCAATAATGGACTTGACTTGATCAGCAAAAAAAATATAAAAATAATAATAACAACAATAACAATTTGCTTGTTCATCTCCTTATATTCTTGTTACGTATCTTTCACGTACCTTTTATGATATTATATTATAAGGGAATATGAATGGGGAAAAAGAATAAGGGGATCATGTGGGCCAAATCCATACAATCCATATTAATGCATAGCAAATTACAAGATAAATAATTAGATGATCAAACGTTATAACTAATCTTTTTTTAGCAAACATATAAATGCACATTTCCTTATATCCATAAGAAAGGTTAAACAAAAAGGAAGAGAAGGGGGTAGAAATCAGAGAATTTGGACGTTTCAAAACAATAGAATAATATATATATATATATATATATATATATATATTATGAGAGAAGATCATATTTGGAGATAAACGTACCTGTTTCCTAACAGCTTGTGAAGCCTGATTATCAGATCCTCTTCCTCTTCAGAGATGTTACCCCTTTTAATATCAGGTCTGAGATAATTCAGCCACCTTAGTCTGCAACTCTTTCCACATCTTTTAAGACCTATACCCGTATCCTACATTTTAGTTTCTATGTAAAAAGCAAAGCTTAGAAGTGACGACAAACCCACTAAAGGCCAATTCTTTTTATCTCAGTTGAGAATTTGATCTGTAAAGTGAATTTTATATGAGAAAAAAAAATACGATAATAAGAAAATTAAATATAAATTTTTATGAGAGAAACATTGCAGTAAAAAAGTTTAAGTTGTGATCCGAGTTGAGAAATTAAAGAATGGCGGACACTTGAGTGTACTAAAAAAAATTAAAAAAACAAAAAACAAAAAAAAATAAACAAATAATTACACAATTATGATGATCATATGAACAAAAGTATTCTTTAAAACACTTAAAAATTATACACTAACCAGCTTTTATAGGAAGGTCTCTCCATTTTCCTTTACCGTGAGTTTTGATGTAGTCTGTGAGGATTTTGTCCTCAAGAGCCGTCCAAGGTCCTTTGTTCATTCCGTCCTGCTTGGCGCAACAAGGAGTTCGTCCCATTTGAATTATTTTGCCGTGATCTCTCTCTCTCTCTCTCTCTCTCTCTCTTTCTCACTGGAAAACGCAATATTGCTATGTAGGGATTAGGGAATTGATATCACGTATCAAACCTTTATATAGGCAAATGTTTTCTTAATTTAAAAGAAATAGACTAGTAAATAATGACATGTGTTTATACCTAATTAAGAATGGCAATTTCGACCTGTGTTTATACCCATGAGACTAGTAAATTTTTAAAAAATAGACTAGTAAATAATGACCTTTGTTTGTACCTAATTATGATCTAGTTAGAAAATAAGACAATTTTATATTCCCATGAGCAACGTCAGCTGGCACCCTTCTCTTCCATTTTCATTTTCTATATCAATTTCTTGTTCTTCTAATCTGCTTTCAAATTTGAAATAAGAAAGGGATTTAAAAATAATAATAATAATAATAATAATAATAGATAAATGTCCGCGACTTGTATAAAAATGTACTAAAAATGCCCTTGTACGGCGTAATATATTCTATTCTCCGCAACGACTCGCAAAAATGGGTATGTGCCCTAAGGGTATTTGCTTCTTCTTTTTTTTTTTTTATGTCACCTGGACTTGGCCGCCAAAACAATTTAATTTTGTTCAGTTCGCCGAATTGAGCTTTTAATTTAAGTTAAGAGATGACTTTATGTAAGAGTTGATGTTACTTTTCGTGAGAATTTTTAACTGTAACAAAACTAAAATTAAAAACTCAAATCGGTGAAATAAGAGCCCGTTTGGTTCATAGATTAGAACCATGAGATTAGAACCATTTTTGATTTACGTGTGTTTTTTATGAGAGAAAATACTATAACGAACTATAAACTATGATTCGAATCAGAGAATGAATCCTCCAACCAAACGGGCATACCCACTAAACACAATCAAGAATTAGCAACTTAGTTTGACTTTTCTAGACCATAAACTAATTTATAATATTATTGATAGTCATTTAACTGTCTTTAATATTAGTTGACCAGTTCAGTGCTTTCTTTTCTTTAAAGGCCAATAGAATTAATTTGTGATATTAGGATAATTTAATAACTAGTAAAGGAGTATGACAAATTACGAGAATATAAAATGCTGTGAATAAAACAGTGAGATCATTAAAACAGTAAATATTTTTTAATAAAAAACAGTAAAAATTTTTGCAAATTAATTAAACAAAAAAAAAGAGAAATATTAACAAATGCCCCTTAAAAGTATATAGGTCTTTATTTTTAATCTTTACTCGTGATTAATACTCTTTTTAATCAAATAACTATATTAACAAAAAGTATTAATCAAAAATAAAGAATAAAAATATTGATTCGCGCATTTTAAGAATAAATTCAACGATGTATTCTAAAAAAAAAAATCTGATAGTTGTTTATACTGTGAATAAATGCATTTATTTACTACTGTTGAACTACGACGAGGAATTAGAGTTAATTTCCGTTATTATCAGGAATTAGACCATATATATGTAATATGTTCATAGCAATATATAATACCAAAAGTTTTTAATAATTATGTTTCCATAAAGTCACTCAATAAATATAAAAATTTTAATAAAATGTGACGTAATAAGAACTCAATTTCATTAGTTGTTATAAAATTTTTAGTCAACTATTAAATTTATCACAACCGTCGAATCACTATCTTATATTTAAAATAACGATATCTATCAATGAGTAAATATTATGATAACTATTAGAACTACACTCATATATATATATATATATATATATATTAATGTTTTGATAGTTGCTTGATCGGTTAAGTGCGCGAGACAGCGTACAGATTTCCGCTTAGAGAAATAGCAGTCACAGTTCAAACAACGTGGTCAAAAAATAAGATCCACCCGTGACGATGGATTCATTATATGACATTTAAATTTGACTGAAAAAATAATCATACAATTTTCATTTTATTTTGATTTTATTTTGATTGAAAAAATAAAGAAATAGAGAAGAGATAATTAAAGTTAAATAGTCTTCTTCACAGGATACATACTATGACTAGTAATACGGTGCAAATAATTTCTAAAATCTGATAAAAAAAAGAATATAAACAAGCAAAAAACTTTTCAAAAATTTTATTTATCATAGAAAATTACATAACACAATTTTCAACAAAAATTTGGATAAATTGAATAAAAAAATAACAACGTAAAAGACATTCTTTTTTCTGTTTGAATAAATTACATACTATTTACACCTAACCTCGTAAGTTCTAAGGATAATTAAAAAAAAATACCAACGATACGGAAGCACATTTATTTATTTATTTTGAGAAATTGGGGAAGCACATTTATTATAAAATGGCATGTTGCATGTATATGAGATCATAGTGACCGTCTTTAACCAAGTCCAAAACTTATCCCATTTCAAAAAAAAAAAAAAAAGTCCAAAACTTATCGTATAAGGCTTGCCGTTTTCTACGACGTCAGTTTCTTCTAAAACGTAATTTTTATCATTTGATGTGATTCTTTTGGCCGTGATTATCATTTGAACGGTATACCTTTTTCCATATGATGTTCTTTTCTACAGGTTATCAAGTTCTTTCGACAATGAAACTGTAATATTTTTCCACGATCTGCCTTTTCCCTTATACGACATCGATGTTTTCGGACGATACATGACATCTTTTTCTCCGATTGACATCGATTTTGTATATACTACAAAACGATTTTGTTTCTACATACGACATTATTCTTCAATACGACTTCATTGACAAATAAGAATATGTCACTGAAATTAAAACATCATTTTTATAACTGACATGCATTGCCCAGAAGACACCAGTATTTTCCGTTTTTATATGTGATAATTAGTAGTGATATTTGATGTTTAAATTTTTATTTTAATATATCATTCTTTGATTTTTCTTGACAATTTCATCCTAAACTTTTGTTTTTCTTTTTTTTTTAATGACAACTTGACAAGATATTAACTAACAATTTTACTCGTGTGATTGGTTATATATTTTAGAAGGTTTATATATTTCTTTTGTTAGATAGATAATAACTTTTATTGAATTGATTTTACATTTTAAAAAATGAATGATTTTAATTGATTGCTTAAAATGGAAGGTTTTTTTAAAATATATATATATATATATATATATATTAGGAGAGGAAAGAATTAGTTATTTTAATTCCTCGCTGCAAATTCCATATAATTAGTATTTAGCACTAGTAAAAAAAAAAAAGCACGTGCAACACATGTGCCTGTTGCAATAAAGTATGAATTTGACTATCTATTAGAAAAATAATTTTATGATGTAAACAAATAAGTTCTAACTATAATTTGATCATCATAATATAAACATTATTTAATTTGACTACTTTTTATTATGCCCTAAATAAGAGAAAACAGATAAAAAATAAGTAAAAAGTAGAGAAATAATTTTATGATGCTGAAAATAAATTCTAAGTATAATCTGATCGCCATTATATAAATATTATTTAATTTAACCACTTTTTATTATACCCTAAATGTGACGACCCTGCTCAGTTGGTCATCACTGTAACTAATTTTAACATATACTTTCTGAAACTCCCTAAAATTTGAGAGACTCTTTTTAAAACAAATGCTACCTAGAATGCTGCAACATTTTTTTTAAATGCTGTAGCATTTTGTTTTATAACTTAAATAAAATGCTATACGAATGTTGTAGCATTCTGAAAACATTCTAAAAGAAAATGCTATGCGAATGCTATAGCATTCTGGGCATAAGTTTCTTTCTCTTAAAAAAACTATTTCATTCATTTTTTATAAGGAATGTTATATCATTCTTTTTAAATTACTATAATGACATAAATTCTGGTTTCTACTTTTGAACATAGCAAAGGGTTTATACTTCAAAACCAATTCCTTTTCTAAAGCATAAATTTACATATAGGTATATTTTGCTTCTCAAAATCCTGCTAGCTTACACAAGTTAACAATTTTACTACAAGCTTCCAAAATACAAGTTCATAGACATATTTAACAAAATATTTTTTTAAAACTTTAAACTATTACAAAAATAACTGTGTGCGGTATCCATTCCCCAACCTCCACTCTACTCGTCCACCGCCTCGCCATCAGTCCATCAAACATGATGTACTCTGAAATGAGCTTTCGTTCAGCAAGTAGGAACTATTACTCACAAAATAACTGAAAGTTCACATGACTATATATACATGAACTGATTATGCTGATTTATGATGTTTCATCATAGTTTTACTGTCTGAACTTACTATCTGAACTTGTCTTACTTGCTTATGAGCCCGAGTGCTCGTACCAGTTGCGCACAATCATCGAGACGTGAGGGTTTGCAAGGTCCCCGACGACACCATGATTATAAATTGAACTGAATGCCTCCCTCTCAGAGGACTTTATTATATTTTTTTTCTTCTCCTTGCGGAGCCTGAGTTACCTCCCTCTTAGAGGCTGGGACGGCACTCAACTGAGATTATTCTTATAAGTTTCTCTTGACTTATTAAAGTGTATGTAATATGACATAGCATAGAATACTATAACATGGAATGTACTTAAACACATATAATTCATGTGCACTGCTTAAGTGTATACAGTATAATATAGCATAGCATACATAATATTAAATGTACTCAACACATATAATTCATGTGTACAGTTTATTTTAGAATCTATTTATATTGTAGGTGAGATTCCTACTTACCTGTTTTTAAGAAGTGAAATCCTCTATTCGTCAAAGAGTCTATTCTCTTTCTTTCTTGTTTATGAGAATAAACACCCACTAAGAGTGTGAGATTAACTATCACTTGCTATTCTATTTTAGCAAGCTTGTAAGAAAGTCTAACTTCTCTATTTATGGCTTTCTTTCTCTTTTCTACCTTAAAGGATTATGAAACCTTGTTTCTAATTTAAAAATTAGGTTTATCAAATCCCCATAACCTTACTTTTCATTAAACAAGGTTCAAACTCAAAATATTTTCTTGAGATTATACTTCGACTTCTTTAACAAACTCCTTTG